CTGTCAAAATGGGTTCCAAATGCCAGTCTGGATTGTGCTCACACAGAATGGCAAAAAAAGGAAAGGGTAAAAAATGTCTGAATCATGGGGAACTGACCATTAGGGTAAGGTGTCCCAGGTACCAAACACTGACCATTTGGGTACCTTGCATCTTTTCAGTTTTATGATTGTTCTTGCTCAAGGGTCAAACTGTGCTTACCGCACTCACAGAATTTTCTTTGACAGCAGATGTTGGTTGACTGTTTATGAAGAGAGATTGTATTGAAAATATACAAAATATAGAGAGAAACAACAGCAACAATAACTCTGAAGTACAGTTAACCCAACAAAGATCATGTATTAAATTTTGGATGGTTATACCAGCACATATGGCTGAGTCATAAAATGGAAGAAATAAAGCAGAAGTTACTGTCTAACACACTTTGTTTTTATGTTGACCTTGAGATGTAAAATCATAAATAAGAAAGTACCTCTATCTGGGAACTGGATTAATTATTTTTTTTGGATTGCTGGAGACAATTGTTGATCAAAAGAGTGTGACAAAAGGTCACCTGTTTTTATGTATTGGTGACTATGATTTTATGCAATGTGGTGATTGATAAGATAAGTAAGTTTGATAGTTCTGATTTATTGTTTGAGATTTCATTTGACATACCTCACAGCTGATTTCCTCTGAGAGTGTTGCTCATGGTCCTAACTTTGTGTTGAAAATGAGTAAATAGTCTAAAATGATATATCCTACATGATATTTTCTAAGACAATGGTCAAATCAGTTTTTGCATTGGAATGAGTCCAAAGCAGGTAATCAGCGGACAACAAATCACTCATTGGTGGTCCCTATGCACAATAGCTCTTGGGTCCGATCTAACAGCTAAGTATCCGCAAAGTGCCACCCACAAGAAGAATCCTTTGAGCTTTCTGATTGCAGGGGCCAAGACAGATGCCTACATAGAGGTAAAAAAAGTCTGGAGATTATCTAGGCTCCAGACAGAAAGCAACTACTTTGGCACCAATGCTCATACTTTTGGTTGGCTTCATCCAATTTTGAGTCACAGACATCATGCAATCATAGTAAAAGTTCAATCAAAAGTATTTTTTCCCAAAATCAAACAAGATCAAAGGTAGATAAGGGCCTGTTCGGCTGTGTTTCCCAAAAAGTGTTACACAAAAACACGTTTTTAATCTGCCCCTTTTTCGAGGGGCAGATTGAAAAAGTGTAATTTGGTTATACGATTTCCTGAACAGTTGTCCAAAACAGCTATCAAAAGATTGCCACGATCGTGATTGAACTTGACAAAGTTCAATCAAGAGAGGGGCAAAAAGTGTTTTTCGTCTGAAAAACAGCCTCAAGGCTGTTTTTCAGATCAGTTGAATATATCGTGATATATGATCTGATGTATTGATCATATATTGTTGCCAAACATCACGTCTTTTTCAAAACTCATAAAAGATTTCAAATGAAAAAGCCTTTTTAGATTTGGTGGTCTATAACATGTTATAGAGTTTTACAAGTGTAGCCAAACGGGCCCTAAGATATGAGGGCAAAATGTGATAGCTATCAAGGTCCTGATACAAGGTTTTAAAATTGATGTGAACCCACTCCGACTCTAAATACATATGTAATTAAATCTGGCGGGTGTTGCAAACCTTTTTTCACCTTTGACTGACCGACGCACAAGCTGACGTGGGCAAGACAACTACGAATCTTTCAAAGGTGATATCGAGCAATGATTCCTTCCCTATTTAAAATCAATATCCAAAATGTTCATAATCATCATACACATAATCATCATACCCTTGAGCATTACAATCAAACTCAATTCCATGATCCTGACACAGGATTCTTAAATCATCAATGTCTTTACAAGAGAGGGAAGTACATTGATCTGTGATCTGAACCTTCTTTAGATTAGGCCAAGGTTGTTCTCGGATCAATGGTTCTACATCCTGAAACATATCACTCGGTGTATCACCAAATGAAATTGACGAAATACTCTTTGAAGGTTGAAGATCTCTTAAGATTCGGATGTAATGATCACCTGCGACTTCCAAATTAGATAGTTTAGATAATTCGACTGGAAATTGATCGCTCCCGTCGACATTAGGTCCGTTCGCTAATCGAAGTGTGGTTAAGGTCGATTCAAAAGGTTTGAAGATTCCATACAAAACCGATAAGGAGCGTTCTCCACAATATTCTAATGCTAATGTATGTAAAGAACTTTTCCAATCCAGTTGAATCCAACTTGCGTCTACACATTCTGCCCCGCCCAAACTTAATCCAATAAGATGAGTAAGTGAAGCAAGATGGAGTCCAAGTGGTGATTGACAAGGTTGTTGATCCTTTTGGTTGTCTAAACGCTTTGGATGAGTAGCCTTGATTAAGGAACAAGTAAAACTTTGAAGTTGTTCAAGGTTTGAGATGATGTCTACTAAGAAGGTTTCTGTGTAGCGATTTCGTGTCACAGGAGATGATAGTGAAAGATGGGTAAGTGAAGTGAGTTGTGATATAGGTTGAATAGAGAAGTCTGGCATTTGATTCTCCAGTGTTTGCAAACGCCTAGTAGGTCTAAAGTGTTCCATGTCAAGATCGATATCGAGCTCGAGGAGATGTGGACAAGATTTTAAGATTTCGAGCAAGACTTCATATCTCGATTTGAACTGTGGATCCCATTTTCCATCATCGTATGGATTAGCATCCCATATAGCTTCCGATTTCCGTATCTCTGATTCGGGGACTCTGAAAGAGATCTTTTTGATATAATATAAATGTCTTGGAATGATTTTTCAAGTGTGAGCCTCATTCTATCCGCCGTGGAGTGTTGAAAATCAAGAACCTGAAATGGAAATCACAATCAATTCACCAATTCTTCAGTCATGGATTGACAAGCAGATGTCGAGGAGAGAAGCAAATCACCCCATAGAGATAAGGACGGCATCTTTGATAGTATGAACGATTCACCGAGGAAAGTGATCGAGTATCCTTGAAGGGAAGAATTCGAACTTTTTAATGATTGAACGTTGGTGATCGAATTCCGCGGCAATGTATGACGTACAAGCAAAAAACCCGATGGTGTTCAATTTGGCCAAGAGGAAAACAGTTGGTCGACTAAGGATGATAATGAGGTGGAGATGTGCAGAGTAGTAAAAGAACTACTAACGTTTTCGAGCAACTTCACTCTCACTATCATAAATGTAACGACCCTCATAATGATCCTCACCTTCATTATAAACCGCAATCATCCGCCAAAACTCGTTCTCGTGACGAATCGGAGGAAGATGACGAACCCAATAAACGATCTTGTCTAGGATTTCCGTTGGCAGGGATGATAAGTCACGCTTATTGGGATTTGAAGTCATTTTTGGATGGTAGGAATGTTCAGATGATTGAGGGCACTTCAGGATATTGAGGTGGATTGATAATGAAAATGAGATTTCTGAGGAGACCTTTTGCTACGCGTACAGTGAACTATAGTAATACCGACATCTTGAAAACCTCCTGGAACTCCTTGCTTCTCCCCCTTGGTTCAGCATTCGAGCATTGCAACAAATTGACAATGGTACGGATCGGATCATCAATTCAGGTCTGTTTTCAATTAATCGTTCATCATGAGGCAGCATGAGAATTAGTAGTCACGATTCGAGACCTCATATGGTCCGTTTGTTGTTCGCAGACATTCATATGCTTTGCACTTCCATCAACAAGCCCTATGAGACCTGACAGCAGAACAATCTGGTTTAGAGAAGAACAAGCCAATACTTTGGAGTCACCAATTTCCACCTAAGATTGCTCAACGATCCGAGGACGATGATGATCTGGAATCTTGTTCTCCATCCTCGATTGACCACGAAAATTTCGAAAACATTGATTTGGTTAGAGTTAGTGGACTTACAGGGACGGTTTAGAGTTAATGGACTTCCAGGAACTAAAGATGCTATGCGTCAATATGTTTTTGATGAACAAGCCAGCAAACAAGGTTAAAGGATCTTCAGTTGAAGAATGTTCATGTTTGTAATTTGAAAAATGAAGCTTTAACATCTTCAACTCCAATTTCTAAACCATGAGTTTCAGCACCATAACATTTCAAGATCACTCCATTACATTTTTCAATCCACTTCCTTAACTCAGCTTCACATGCACTCCAAACTGTGTTCATCACAGCTGATAGATTGGCTTGGGATGTTTTTCTACCCTTTTAGCAAGTGCTTCAATTGATTTCTGAATCTTCTTTATGAAAGGATGAAATTGCTGGTTTTAAGGCTGATTGTGTGTACTGACCATGTATTGAAATCTCGCCAGGAGACGTAGTTCTTAATAATTGTCGAATGCCTTCACCCCTGTGATATGAGACAAATTGATTTGTTTAGTATCCTTTGAGTCTGTTGCCCGGCGCATCTTACATTGGACAACTCACAATCAGTCGAGCCAAAGGCCGTCAAAGTCCCAAACGGATGTACAAATTCAAATTTTGAACGTACCTTTCCTTGGCTTTTTCCAACCAGAGCCCTCATGTCGACACATTAACTTTAGAGGCCGTCGTGACAAAGTGGTGCATGTTTTCTAAAGTGGTTGAGTAATAAGATGAGCGATCCATATCAGCGACCACACAATTCTAGCGAGCTCTGAGAGTCCGAAAATGAAGGAACTCAGCAATCATCAATGTATGATAGTTTGATCAATCTTTATCTCTGTCTTGTCATCATTCTCAAATATCACATGAATCTCAGCTAATTCTAATGCCTTGAATTTGTTATTCTTCAATCAGATCAACTCCCGTGACCCCCGTTCCAATCATCTTCCACGCATATCCTTCCAAACTTTCTGCAACATTAGCTAGTACATCATGTTGTGCTTCGACTGTTCCTTTGAATGGGTAAGCTTCTTTGCCTTACTGATTAACCTCGGGTTTCATCTAAAAGCTGTGTGTCTGACGATTTTCCTTGCCGTGAAATTCCTTCTTCTTCATGACAAGATGAACGGGCACCTGCCAAACTTATTGGTCTCAGTGGCATTTTTGCTGATTGAGATGAAGTGGTAGTGGTTGCTGTTGCTGTTGTAGACAGGAACTAGTAGAAGGACGTTTTTTGTTTGTTGAACAAAGTGGAGAACTGATTAATCGGTTGATCAAGGGGGTCGGTGCCTCAGGAGATTTAGTTTTGTTGAACTTGAGGGGACGAGGTGAGACTGGTGTCATTTGCTTAAGACCACGTCGATTGCCAATACTATCACCATCAGTGTCAGGTGTACGAGAACGCTGAGAGCTCGTTCCAAACCGTGGTAAGAAAGAAGATGATGCACGAGAAGGACTCGTATGAGGTTCGACGCCGTGCGATGCAACAGCTTCGGAGTGAGTCGGAGTGAGTGAGGTGGGCGTCCCGAAAGGGTTGATCGAGCTAGAAATTGAATTTGTCTCTGAAATTTGACCTGAAAGGACGGGCTTGCGAGAGCTTGGCTGAGATCGAGCGGCTGACGAAGCCGCTGATGGCGATGGATGGCCTCCACTACGAACGACTGGCAGTGAGGTCAGCACCAGTACACATAATGATTTGTTCTATGAAGGAAATGAATTAGGACACACTGTAGTCATTGTTAGGAAGACCGATCATAGATGGTAGCTTCCCATTGGCGCATTGACCGAAAGATCGAACGAGTAAGTTGACGAACTCGGTGCGTTCGTAGACATCTTCAGCGATCCAAGTATACGAACGCGAACCGAGTGTTTGAAAGCTGAGTCCTAGAAAGGCTTGAATTTCAGTTCAGAAGGTTTGGTACGTAGGGAACTGAAGCAAGAAACACAGGTTGACGCGTTCGACCCCTCGAAGACCAATCTCATTTCAAGTCTTTCAAATGGAGAAACTACCATTAGAATTACGTTTAGGTTCTTGCAAGAAGACCTGTCCCGAGGGTTCAACAGTGATTTGAGTATCAATCGATAAGGATTAGTAAGAAATTGAGTATTAGGAGGAATAAAGAAGAACTCAACAGCGAACAAGATATAACGTGGTTTCTGTTCACCAGTTGATACGTCCTCTCAAGGTTTCCAATGAGATATATAGTCTTGACCAGCTAAAGAAAAGGTAATCAGATGAAGATTGTTAGTTTGAAGACGATCGATCAATTGAGATTTGAAGAGGTATAAGGATAACAGCTTACTTTGCCGAGCACTTCCCTTCGATGGAGAAGAAAAGAGTGAAGGGATGATATGTTGTCTGATACTTTCGAATCGACCGACATGATTTCGTTGGATGAAAATTAAAGCAAAGTGTTATTGATTGTACCTCTTGACCGTTTTCTTCATGACCAAACTTGACTTTCAAACTACAGTACATATCTTTCCCCTATCTTGACTCAGTCTCAAGCCTTATCAAGTATCGCCTTTTGAAACAAAGAACTGAACAAACGCAAAATCCTGACTTGGACCCTTTAAACCACCTTGCACATGAATTCCTCAAGTCTCATAAATTCAATCATCATTTACAATATTTGGCTTCAGGATATTTTGCAGTTTAAAGTCTGGGCCGGGGGCGTACAGCTCAGCATGAGATCTGGTTAAGAATGTGGAAGATCATCTGAGAGTAAGAATCAAATCTAAAATCTGCCCAGAGCAGACGTGGGATGGCGGTGCGACTAGGTTGATGTGGTGTGCGGCTTTGTTACTTTCTCCTTTTTATTCATCAGACTTTTTCATCTTTGTTCCCTTCATCCAAAACTTATCATCAACAAAAGATAGTTGTCAATTTGATTTTCAAGTTTATAGCTACACGCCTTACATAGGCTCCTGGGCTCTTCATAAGTTACCTTTTTCACCTTTCGCACTCTCGAACACATCAGACGTCAGGATCGTCCTGTGTTTGCGCTCTCAAAACCTTCTAGTGCAAACCCGTACCACTGAAACGACTCCGTGTTTCCCTTTGATCTTCAGATTGTACTTGCTTCCATCTATGTCAAGTACGAGATGTAATAAACAGGTAGGATCTCTCTTTCTTTAGGATAAAACTTATATTTTAATTTCTTTAACAATAATATTTTATGTAAGTAAAAACGTAACAAACAACTTTGATAAAAAAGATAAGAGAGAAATTGTAGTACCTTTAACAATAACTACACTTATGAGATTCAACTTTGTAACACGAATTTTAAATCGAACAATGTAATCAAAAAAGCGAAAGTCTACATTTTGAGGAATCAATTTAAAATTAGATAAAGAAGAAATCAGACATCATAAATAGAACCAAGCTATACCTCCTTTCCTTTCGATAAAAGCTTGAGTTCGATTTAGATTCAGCTTTATAGTTGAATAGATTTGTCGTGTAGTATTGAGTGTTTTAGAACGAAACGAGGAAGTGACAATTTTCTTGACGATCAAAGGAAAACGATAAAAAGAGAAAACGATGAGAAGATTTTGAATAGTTTTTTATCGAAGTTCTTTTGGGCAAGGACTCGAGGGTTTTTGTGAGCGAAACATATCCAGTGACGTCATACATGTTTGTCAGCAAAGCGTACAACACAGATCAGCACACACAACGGAACAACGGAATCAGGGCAACACAGCATAACAGCAGAGCAAACGGAATCAGGGCAACACAGCAGCAAAACAGGTCAGTGATTTATTACCGATCATAACACGAGAGACTAGCCTCTCAGAAAGTCCACAAAGATGACATCCTCCAACTGGACAGCTCAGCTTTCACTTTGGCAGGAGATTGTCTCTCAATTTCACGGAGGGAGCAGGCCACTTGACCAGCATTACGATTTTATGCGAACGCGTTTCGATGAACTTGATGCGGAAGGATTTATTTGGTCAAGAGAATCAATCCTTGATACCTTTCTTCAACTCGGTTTGTCAGCCAGGACACATGGAGCCTCCTTGTCTGTCAACAATGTGACCGAACCTCACCTTTCTCAAGGAGTCGAAATTTCATCTGATGAAGTTCAAGAAGTTATTCACAATGATCAATTGCAACACCAGTCCCGTCGTGTAGGCCTCATGGATCTACCAATCGAAATCTTCTACGAGATACTCGCACAGATTTATCACCTCCCAAGCAATCTAGTACACGACAGAAGGGCGCAAGCTGAAGTGAATATCACAGGTCCAGGTGACATGGCGCCATACTGGACCTACTTGTACCGAGATTCGCCAATCTTGAGTCCCACCCAAAGCTTTTCACTCACTTCGCGTGAAATATATCGACGTTGTAAACCATGGCTATGGCAAGTGAGTCATCTCTAAATCGAATGGTTAATAAAGATAAAAGATCTAACTATGATCAATCACTCATCTTGATATCCAGAGATTAATCTTCCCGACTGCTTTTCCAGCACCGGTAAATCTTTGGACCAAAGACATACTTCTCAAACAAGGCTCACATGTGCAATCTCTATCACTCAGACTTTCCGAAAACTGCTATAAACCTCCCGGTGAATTCATGCACTATGATCCCTTTTATGATAATCTCGCCATGGAATGCAATCCGGATCTCGAACCAATCTCGCCACAGAATGTGAAAGATTTGATAGGTTTGTGCCCTAACCTTTCTTCACTGGAACTGGATTACAGATATGAGGAGCCATCTGAAAACGAGGGTGGAACAGAAGCTTTTCTATTAGACCTACTTCCACTACTTTCAAATCTCAAACAACTTCAGCATTTGAAATTGGTGGATGCCTGGCACGGGACAGTTATGAAGGAATTCCCATCAAAAGTTGTTGGTCTTCTGCCTTTGCTCGAATCCCTTACTATTCGCGTATCTACAGTATCTAAAGATCAGCCAACACTTGACGGTTCCTTTGGGTTTAAGCTATCTAAACTCAAATATCTATCGCGGTTGGAATTAGAGGACGTTGGATATGTAGATGAAAGTTGGTGTCTCCGCGATTGGCCAGAAAAAATTACCGATCTTGAAATTATCCGTTGTGCTGACTTAAAACCAAGTGCAGTACAGCGAATCGTTCATCACATCGCACCTCACCTAACCAGTCTCACGCTTTACTTTGGCTATGGGAGTGATGATAGATGGGAAATGGAACCTAGCTGGAATCCCGCAAGCCACCTGTCCTTTCCATCCCTGACCGACTTGAAGCTTTCTACTCGGGACCCATATTTCCTAGCCAGCTTTCAAGACTGTAAATCTCTGCGTTATCTTGAATGGCCCTGCAAAACATTGAAGCACGTCAGGGTATTGAAGAACAACTTGTTGGAAGCTACTTGGCCTCAGATCAAGAGACTAGAAGGCCGGGGTTATCGTCTTTCGCTATCTGACCTTCCAAACCAAGAAATCGAGGATGAATTACGTTTGTTGGAAAATTGTTGTAGACAAATGAATGTGCAAGCAATCATACGCCGCCCGTTCACTTAGATCTTGCTGATAGGTTGATTTTCATTGGAGTCGATAACGAGGTTTGATTCTTTCTGATTGAGGATCCACTTGGTTTATTCTATTTAAGCCTCACGTTTCTGATCCTTCAAGTTTTCTTTGAGCGTGAATCAACAAACATATGCCAGATTGACTTTTATAAGCTTACTTTTCCCTTCATGTATGAGGTTTGTGCTGTCATTGATATCTACTTTGATACTGTACAGCTCATTTTGAACTAGCATCTTGAAAGTGAGACGAAGAAATTGATTCTCACTCCTGGTACAATTCATCGTGTTTTACTGGTATGTGCAATCCATATATTGAACATTTTATTTTGTAACACAATAAAGATTCAGGCAGAAGCACAGAGTCAAAAAATCATATTTATACATTTGATAAACAGAAATTGGAAATGATCTTGATGATAGTGGATTCCAATGCTGAATCAGGATCAGGAATTTGTTTCCAATGATGAGTGATAAGAATAATGCTCTACAAACTCTTTCGATGATCAATTGCAGGACATAGAGATATGGAAGCAATCAGGTACTGATCTTTGAATGCCAGTTTCCGTGGACTGTTTTCATGGGGAACAGCGGCTTCTCAATTCAGGTGAACTTTCTAACTTAACTAGGTCCCTATGCTTCTTGCCGCGAGCTTGTGAGCATAGGGACTTACGGGTTATCTCGGTTTTCTTGGTGACAAGCACAATTCCCTTTTGGTGGGAGAAATTGGCACCAAAAGAAAACTATTGCATTTAATTACAACTTTTTTTTTTAGACTCAAACATTACCATTCAGCTTCTTCCGCATCTTTCCATCTCCTCATTTTTTTTTATTCTCATCGAAAGCAAAAGTTGTGATTGACCTCAAACTTTGTACTTTTGAAATTTCAAAAATCTGTATTGCTGCGTGTTACACAAATGATAAGTTGTATGTAATACAAAATTTTAAATTTGACAGCTCGTCAACAATTGTGGTAGAGCGATACCTGCAGATCTGCAGGTAAAGGGTTTCTGGTTTTGAGTGAGAGTTTCAAGATAGACATTACCATAAATCTCTATTAACACATCATTGCAATGGATCTCGATTCAGATTCTTCGTCTGGTGAAGAAGAGCCATTGGACAACAATCTGAATTCTGACGAACCTCCTGAGCACCGAACAATCAAGATATGCAAATTTATAAATGAGCTTGGAATGACACCAAAATCTTTTCTTCAAAACCTCCTCGAGTCCGAGAAGCCTGCGGTCATCAAGCGTCGTCGATTCTTTGGATCATTGACTGGATGGCCATCGACACTGAAAGTGATTGAGACTCTCAAGACTCTCATATTCAAGCATCAAACGAGGAGAAATATGAATAATTGGAATGCTTTCATACTGGAGGAAGTATGTCTAGATACCCATAGAGGCTATCTTTCTTTGCAATGTTGACTTTACATTATGAAAGTGTTTCCTGATGAACTTTCATTTGATTTATGTAGGCAAAAGAAATTGTCAATCGTGAAGACTTGCCTCGGGGCGAAGCTCCAAATGGAAGCTTTTACAATGCTGGAAAAGTCAACCATTCATTTTTCAAGCCGGAATCAGAAGCCGCTTGCGATGACAGCCTCAGAACGCATATGCCATTCCTACATGCCATTCTCTACTCCAAAATCGAAACAGCAATCATTGCTCGTGATATAGTTCGCAAAAAAAAATCAGCAAAGGCAAAGAGTAAAGCAGAAAGCAAGGATACAAACAATGAATCTCTGAATGATGGTGAATTGAACAAACTTGACTCAATGAGACGTAGACTGGACGCTTCATCAGTGGAGGATATGGAGGGTGTCTCACACTCGGAAACAATTTCTCCTAGTGATGTGGAACAGAAGCAATTAGTCCAAGTGAGTATTTAAATGTCTTTGTTCTACATCCCACATTTGTATTGGTTGAACTGATTATGTTTTTGGCTTATATTCTTTCAGGTTCCTGTTACAATCCTTTCGATGATAGCCTTTGTATCTAACCGACGTTTCAATGGAAAGCAGCTACAAAATTCTCTTTCATTCATTGCATGTGGTGTATCTGAGCGTATGAACGATTATCTACACTTCCTCGGATTGACTTCAAGTCGCAAAACTGGACTTAAAGCAATGGACACCTTAGGTCATGCGTGCGAAAAATTGATCAAGAGTCGCATGGCTGAGAAGTACAACTTGTATCCCTTTATGACACTCGATAACATTGAAATCCAAGCTCGTATCCACAATACTCGGATAGAATCGACCACCAAAATGTTTCATGGGTCTTATGGATATCTACATTTTTTACCCGACCATCTTACAAAAGATATTGATCCAAATGAGGCCACTGTCGAAAATCTTCTCAAATGTGTTGAAAAGAGTCGATCAGAGCCCTTTGAACCTTCATCGATGTTACCTGATCAGAAAGATGATGCTCACTGGACATTAGTTCTGAAATCTCAGCTCGCTGAAGCACTAGTCAAATATGTACGAGGTCACACCAAATTCCGCTGCTCACACCGCCTGTAAAGAATCACTTGCTCTTGTTCCACCTTCAGTGGACCCAATACCAATGTACACTCCCGATATCATGATGCTAAAGATGATGAGTGCTTCGGATAATTCTACCAGTGGTGTCTCCGATATGCTGGGACAATGTCAAAAACAGACCAATGAAGACGCGGTTGAATTTGCGAAATATCTTTGAGTAATCGAAGGTGATATGGGCACATGCCTGAACTTTGAATCCCTAGTCCGGCAGCGATTTCCAGCCGGGCACGCTGACAAAGCTCTGGCCAACATTCTGAACATGCCCGGTTTGGCTCATACACTATGGAATGTGGCAAGCAAAGTGTTGAGCCATCACTGGGGGAATTCAAAAGATTCTTGCGACACTGGGGTGCATCGGACTGCTGGTGCGCTGGGAATCAACCCTGATAAACTTCCATCACAACAGGATTTCAATTCTTTGATGCATGTAATATTCAAAAGCCACACCGCAACCCTTGTCTTTCTTTTGAGGTATGGACCTTTGATCTCGATTAGGAAAAGCTGTATTGAACTGACTATATGACTGTGTGATTCCACACAGGCAAACCATACAAGCTCACGAAGTTCTGGTTGATTTAAAAGACCCTGGAGTGGCGCAGTCTATAATCGATGAATGCTATGAGCGATACTTCACCATTAACTCTTTATGCGATTCATCTAAAACCGGTGATTGGACATTGTATAATCTGCGTCTACGTCTTAGAGACTTTGCTTCAATTGTAGAGGGTGATAAGGCAATGAGAGCTGGTGACATAGGACGTGTTTTACTGATGTGGAAGCGATGGGCTGTTATGGCTCATGGCGTGACAGGATTATCCCATTATGCCATCCATCTTCCCAGGTTTATATTTATTCTAGAAAAATATCTACCTCCTAAGATTGCAAAAGCGATAAAACACAGTCTTCTTATTCCAACCGGTGGTCGCGAGGGACACTGGGTTGCAAAAGACTTCTATCTCGAGATTCAAAACTATTGGCTGAAGTATTTCTACAACCATTCTGTAAGTCATTCTGAATTGACTTCTTTCCTTAGAAGAACAAACTAACATACTTGAACTTCAAAATTAGGGGCAAGGAACTGAGATTGAAAGGTTAATGGAGAGATTCTCAATTCTAATACCTTTGGTAATGCCTGATGAACCATTGAATGAATCAAGATCAGAAATTTCAAACTCATGTTGATGTTTTCTGTCTGAACAGCTACGAGAACTGATACATCAAATGAAGGTAAGGTCTGGTCTCAAGGATATCTATCAGAACAATAGACATGTCATCACGCCTCAATCATTACAGAACTTTTTACGCATGGCTCAAGTTCACTTATGCAATCCAGAACTCTCTCAAAACACACGTGATCTTGATGATAATGATGAAGTGGATGATATGGAGGTTCTAGGAATTGAAAAGCTCTTTTCAATCGTGCAGGAGGAGGCAGGAAAAAAAAAGGATTCTAGATTCTTATGGGGTTCGATGAATGTCATCAACACAGTTTCAGAGTCAGTATGACTAGCAGTTCAATCAATGGTTAATCACATATGTACTTTTTGTTCAAAATTGCTCAATTTAAAAGCCAACTTCTTTGAAATGATAAAATATGTTTGTATCTACACAGAGCATTTCAACCTTGTACACTCGGAGGCTTAATCTTTTTCTCTTTGCGCAGTCTCTTTCTTTCAGCAATACCAGCGTCTTTGACGGCTTTCTCAGCGTCTTTGATAGCTTTTTGTCGTGCTTTTTCAAGAGCTTCCTCTTGCCGAAAAGCTATTTCCTTTTGCCGTTTATCACGCTTTTCTTCTTTCAACCTTTCAACCTCAAAAGCTTTCTCTTCGTGTATTCTCTTTCTCTCAGCAATACCAGCGGCTTTCAGAGCTTTCTCAGCCACCTTCAAGCGTGATTGCTCACGATGTTCTTCTTCCATCAGTTCCAGGTCCAAGATTTCTTGATCGTTCTTGATCTGCATATCTTCCAGCTCCTCTTCATGTTGCTTAAATGAATTGCTTCTGAACCATTTCTGAATGCACTCATTAATACTATCAAACTGTCCAGGTAATTGTTCACCACATAAGATCTCCCTGAGAAAGACACCGTTTGAGACAGCAGCATAGTTCTTGACAATTTGCCAAGCATTGTCCTGTTTGAAGAGAGTCGTGGGTTGCATATGACATCCAGAAGGATAAGCTTGAGTAAAAATTGCTTCGAAGCTTTCAGTAAGTGCGGCAGCTAGGTCATTCATAGCCGGGTTCAGTCGTATTGGATCATCCATCTTACAAACAAGTGGGATCCCAGCAGTAGCCTTTCGTTTTGTAGCTGCCTTTGTTGGTTGAAAAGCTGTTATGTCTTCGGGTAAAGTTGGACTAGAATCAAGTAGTTCCTCTAGATCCGCAGATTTTGTATATGGTAGCAGTCGGATGATTCGAGCAGCAGCTTCAGGCTCGCAAGTTGAACATCGACATGCTGGCATTCCAATTGATTTTTCACGCTCAATCTCTGCTAGATAGCCTGGATCGGACTTTGACATGGGGATGTATCCCTTGCTATATATTTCAAAGATAAGATTGATCTATCTTAGCATCTATCACAGAAATTCAGCTTTCAAAGAGGACTTACAGGTTATCCAAAGCGTAAACTACTCTAATACAACATGGTGTCAACCGAAAAGCATTCATTCGTTCTTCATTGTTCATATGGTCTGAAACTTCAATCTCGTCAATAGAGTTTCCAAAATTTGGCATAGTCGGCTGAACAAAAATTATAACTAGGCCAGTGTTGTCTTTTCCGCGGCCGGCTCTTCCACCCATTTGATTTGATTCGGATGGGTCCATCGCACCCATTATTACCACAGTTTTCACACGCTTCCAATTCTGACCTAAGCCCAAGGCTGAAGTGCAAGAAAATATGGGAAATTTCCCCTTGCCAAACTCCTCGGCTCGCACAATCTTGTCTTTGTCACCAATAGCAGAATGATATTTGCGGATGCAGCCACTGTTGCCATCACGTGCATCATCGGGTGTACCACGTGCTTCACAAACAACTTTTGATACAGTACCGGTCGCATTTCGAGTTCCAGAATATATCAACATTGGTGTCATTTCATCGTTCGAGACTCGTGATTCTGGTGGAATTATGAGTTTTAAATCGTTGGCTGAATCGAGGGTAGAAGACATGTAGATTCGAATGTAGCGCAGTTCTGGGCGTACAAGCTCGGCACGAATTATTGTCATATGTGCTGGAGTGATACTCAAGCATTCTTGGATTGCTGCAACTGCTTGAGGTCGGCAGGTTGCTGACATGAGCAACATTGGCACATTGTCTGTTGCCATCAGCTGTTGACCAATCTTTCCATATGACAACCTAAACACTCCAACATCTTGAGGGGTGACATGGACGGAAAAGTTTCTTGATTTTCCATTGTCCTGTAGGCCCCAAAGATAAATACAATGGGCTTTGTCGACGACTTTCAAAATTAAGTGACGTTGAAACTTTTTGCTATGGTACAGTTTTTGAAATTCTTTGCTGTTTAAGAATATCTCCGGGCTCTGAACAAGGCAGAGATTTTTGTGAGCAAAAAGACAATGTCTTAATCTGATACACAAAATAAAAAAACCTACAAGATATATGAAAGAGTAATAGTTATGATGCAAATCTTTCAAAACTTCTCCGGTGAACGTCTTTTTGGTCAGGTTTACTGCAGTGATGCCAACTGCTTGCTTTTCCAAAACCTGAACCAAGATCACAATTGTGTGAGTGGAAAGTATTGTCAACTTTCAGGTAAAGGATTCACCTGATTGTCACCGAGTCTATCCAGTGGATTCAATACCAGTATGACTGGCTTTTTTGCTTTACCAAACATGTGGAAGAAGAGTTCCGGCACTCGACTTTTCCCGAACCCCGTTCCAGCAAGTAAAAAGGTGATGTCACCGTTCACAAGACTGACCGCCGTGGTGATCTGTTCATCCTTTACATCGTCGGTAGGGTACTTTTTTGTGAACTTTGAAGCAACTGTTTCGTTTTGGTCATGAAGACTTGAAGTGAGCAATTTATTACTCAAAGTCGGATTCTCAAGCTCAAGCTTATGTGAAGGTTGCAGTTGCTGGGGCGGGTGTGCCTGTGTATCACTTCGAGTTCGTCTTTTAGACATAGATGTATTTAGAATAAGATGAAACGGAGGGATTCAAAGCGTGTCGATTGGATATCAAGGTCAACAGGTTTATGATGAACTCATCTTTGTCGATTTGAAAGGTTCAAATTTGGATTTGATGTTTACATGACACATGTAACATCACCCGCAGTCATTTTTTGAAATTTCAAAAGTACAAAGTTTGAGGTCAATCACAACTTTTGCTTTCGATCAAAGGATTGGAGCCTGCGCGAAGCAAGGCGGAAAGTGCGGAAATCGCGGAAAGTGCGGAAAAAATACAGAACTGTATAAACAGCCCTCGAAAGAGCACTGTCCGAATTGGGCAGTTAGGCTTACTTCGAACTTCGAACACGTTTCACCATATAAAGAATGTTGGGTGAAATACTCGTTACGAGTAACAATTGATTAATTACAAAAAAGTAACGTTGAGTAAAAAGTACGATGAATAGGCGTGTTGGGTAAGGGCAAAGGGATAGGGAACTAAGCGAATCGAAGACTTTCATTTTTTTAAAAGACCTCCCTCATCTTCCTATCAATGCTTTTGACCAAACTCATATCGCTTCTTGATGCCCATGATGCCAACATCATGTTGACAATCACTGTGCAAGACTTTGTCAAATTCTTATGTGTTGCCGCCGACGTGGTTGTGCGGTCTGAACAGTCTCTTCAGCTCACTACGCACAGAAGGCCTATACAATACCTTGCTGCGAGCCTTCCGCCATCCATACATCACTATCTGGAGGTGTTGTTGGCTATGGCGAGTAAGGGATACAGTCGAGAAGAGATATGATCGAGAGCAGGTGCCGAGTTGTTGATTTGATAAGTTCTTCATCTCGTTTCTTTTGCTGGATGATAGCTGATACATGTGGTTGGATTGATAGTTCCGCATTGGTCATAGCATCAAAGGGCCTTTCCGCTTTGGGATGCTGAAACAAAAGTGCTCACATGTCTACCCTGTACGTCTAACCTGTATTTTCCGCACTTTCCGTACTTTCCGCACTTTCCGCCTTGCCTCGGGGAGGCTCCGATGCTCTCCTTTCGATGAGAATAAAAAAAAATGAGGAGATGGAAAGATGCGGAAGAAGCTGAATGGTAATGTTTGAGTCTAAAAAAAAAGTCGTAATTAAATGCAATAGTTTTCTTTTGGTGCCAATTTCTCCCACCAAAAGGGAATTGTGCTTGTCACCAAGAAAACCGAGATAGCCCGTAAGTCCCTATGCTCACAAGCTCGCGGCAAGAAGCATAGGGACCTAGTTAAGTTAGGTGAACTTTAGGGTCTTCAGGACCCGCCAAGACAAAAGATGAAAGGGAATCTATCAAATCAGATCTACAATTCCGAACCCTCACAAATACCACCTATGTATGCTTGTCCAGCAGAACTGGGTCAAACTTGATGAACTGATATCTGTCATATCAAGTATGGATTTCAAAGAGATATGATATGAAGAGAAAAGTAGTTGGAGGTTTAACGATAAGTAGATCATATGTAGTCTGATTTCAGTCCTATGCTTAGCTGAGTGTTGTGTGTATATTCATAAGTTTTGATCTGTGTGTGTTATGGAATTTTCCGTTCGATCTTTACTTCTCGCTTCTATCGATATCAATTATAAGTGACTGGCCCGTTCAAGAACCATACCGAGATGAAACCCTCTAGTTGGACAGCTCAGCTTTCACTCTGGCGCGAGATTATCTCTGAAATTCACGAGGGGACTGAGCGAGTAAACCAACACCACGATTTTATTCAAAAGCGATTTGATGAACTTGACTTGGAAGGATTCATTTGATCAAAGGCATCGATCCTTGAGATCTTTCTTGAGCTCGGTTCATCAGCAAGCACACATGAAGCTTCCTCGTCAATCAACAACTTGACCGATTCTAGTGTGGGTCAAATATTGGAAGTTGTTCACGATGATCAATCGCAACCTCGATCTCGTCGTGTAGGCCTCATGGATCTACCTATTGAGGTCTTTGACAAGATACTTGACCAGATTCATCGCCTCCCAAACCATGGTCTATACGAAAAAAGGACCTTAGGTGAGGTGAAGATCACAGGTCCCGGTGATATGACGCCATACTACACCTACTTGTACCGCGATTCGCCAATCTTGAATCATGTTCAGAACTTTTCACTTACTTCTCGTGAAATATATCAATACTGTCAACCACGGCTATGGCGAGTGAGTGATCTCCAAATCCACTTGCTAATGGAGGAAATATTTTTAGTCGTGATCGATCGCTCATTCTGCTCCTCAGAAATTAATTTTTCCTACGTCTTCTCCAGCACCGATAGATCTATGGACCAAAGGGATCCTTTGCAAACAAGGCACACATGTCCAATCTCTAGCACTCACTCTCTCCGAAAACTGCTGTAAACCTCTCGGTGAATTCATAGAACATGATTCATTCTATGATAATCTTGATATCGATCCCACACGTGAACGGAAACAGATCTCACCAAAGAATGTAAAAGACTTAATCAATATGTGCCCCAATCTTTCTACGCTCGAAATGTCTTATGATTATGAGGAACCGAATGACGACAAGGGTAGAACAGAAGATTTTCTGTTAGACTTAGTTCCACTAATATCAAATCTCAAACACCTTCAGGAATTCATATTTGTGGATACAAATCGAGGTACAATCTTATACGAATTCCCATCAAAAGTCATTGGTATTCTACCACTCCTCGAGTCACTCATAATTTGTGTACCTACACATACAGTCTCTGGATCTCAAAAACTACTTGATAGTTCCTTTGGTTTCAATTTATCTAAACTGAGATATCTATCACGGCTGAGTTTAGGATACGTTGATGTTATAGATGAAAGTTGGTGTCTATACGAGTGGCCAAAAACAATCACAAATATTGAATTTCTCTGTTGTCGTGGTTTATTACCAAGTTTGGCCCATCAAGTCATTCATCATATCGCGCCTTACTTAACAGATCTCAGCCTTGACTTCCCCTATAAGGACGATGGCGACGACTGGGAATTCGAACCAAACTGGAATCCTCAAAGCCATCTATCTTTTCCATATCTAACCAACTTGAGGCTTTGTACTCGAAACGCGCACTTTCTGGTCAGCTTCCAAAACTGCAAATCTCTACGCCGTGTTGAATTCAGCTGTAGAACATTAGAACATTGCAGGGTGCCAAGGGGGATTCTGTTGGAAGGCAATTGGCCTCAGCTTGAAAAACTGCATGTAAATGCTGATGGTGTTGAAATAATTGGCGTGAATCTCCGAGAAGTTGAAGATGAATTACTTTCATTGGAACAATGTTGTAAAGAAATCAACTTGAAGGTGATCATAACACGGTTTACAAGGAAATTCGTTTGGGGTAATAACATTGCTTGATCTTTTCTTAATCAGTTGTACTCTGTTCTTCTAGAATAAAACACGACCTGGCTCTTCTGATACCAGAAACATTCAAGCTGGTACACACAGCCAATGGCTTTAAATCTACACATTTTGCAAACAGAAATCTAACTTAAAATTCATTACAGTGGATCTCAATGCTCAATGATAATCAATTTACAATTTTAAAAGATTAAAGATGAAAAATCATGTGTCATGTGTTGTATCAATTATCTTGGGCAAAGTTGGAAAGCATTGAAGTGATCACAATTTGTCCTGAACTTTGATTCTTGGAGAACAGAGTGTTCTCAATTGGGGAGAACTTTGCAATCTTCAGGCCCACCAGATCAAATGGACTGCTGCTATGGATGTTGATCTTGAACATGAAGCAACAAAATGTGTGAAATGTTTGCAAGCTCCCTGAAGGCTGCAATGTGGCAGGCATTACCTGGATCTACAAGGTCAAGAACAATGCTGATGGTGAATTCCTTAAGTTTATGGCACAACTCTGCACCCAAGGGTTTCCTCAAGTCACCAATATTGACTATCATGAGATCTATGCTCCAACTGGCTGTAAGACATCATTTTGTGTGGTTATTGCTATTGCCAGTGTTAAAGATTATGGATTGCATGGGATGGATGCTATTGCAGCCTTCCTTAATGGCATTACAGATGAAGCTATTTACATGTTGATCCGGACTTGTCGTTCCTGGTTTTAGTATATAAGAATGGATCTTTTCTCTCTTAGTAGTTTCTCTTTTTTCTCATTCATTCTCATATTTGTTTCTTGAACCATCAGGTACATTGACTTTTCCACTTCACTTGTGTCCTCATGCTTACTTACCAAGAACTTGTTGTGATCTTCCAAAGGTTTGCTTTCTTATGTTATGGTGTGGTGTTAAAAGCAATTCATTCTCATATTTGTTTCTTGTCCCATCAGGTACATTTGATTTTCAACCTTACTTGTGTTCTCATACTTACTTACTGAGAGCTTGCTGTGATCTTCCAAAGCAAGTACACAAAACTTACCTATTGCTTGCTTGAAGGTGTGTGTTGCAGACTTGCCGTACTACCAAAATCCAATTGGGATTCATGGAAATTGACTGCACAATTGGGCCAGTGTGCAATTAGGATTAATAGCTGAAGTGACTGTAGTCACTCCGGCCTATGGTCATTGTACATGAAAAAATGCTGAGGAGGGTGCTGTATGAGGAGCGGTACAGCACCCTCCTCATATTACTTCAGCATTATGACACTACAGCATGGTCAGGCCATAGTCAGTTGGACTGCAGCCTACTGGGCCCAGACTGGAGCACACCACACCATTGTCCGTCAACCTAACTAAATCCCTCTTGGACAAACAAGTAGTCAAGAGAAGGACTTATAGCTTAACCCTGGAATTTGGTGTCTGAGCCCGTGGACATTTGGCTGGAGCATTTTTCAAACTAACACACTGCATTATCTCCAAGCCAAGAAATGAATTGTTCTGTGAATCATTATGCATACACAGGTTTTTTTGGATAAGCACTTACCCCCAGGAAGGTCATCAAAAAATTGCTTGAAAAACTCCTGTCTCCTGTAAACTTTGAGTGTGGCTGCTGCAAGTTTTCAACAAGTCTGACAGTTTGAGCAAAAAGGTGGATTTTTTATAAATCCATTCAAATCAATGAAACTGATTGAAGAAACATTTGAGAGTTTCTCAAATGACAGGAGTAAATGACTCTCTGAAACCTCTGCAGCAAATTACAGAGGATGAAATTTATCAATAAAAATTGAGCTTGAATAGCTCAATAGCCATTTGGTTTGGGATGCTGATACCGGCACAGGTGTATGTAGGATGATTTACAGCACAAATTATTTCTGGGCTCCAGGGGATTTTTGTAAACAAGATAATGCAGTGTTTTGATTTGAAAAATGCCCCAGCCAAACAAAGGTCCACAGGCTCACACACCAAATTTTGTGGATAAGCTATAAGTCCCTCTCTCAACTATATACTTGTTTGTCCAAGAGGGACTTAGTTAGCTTAGTGTCATCCGTATTTCTCTGCAGTACAATTTGTGTGTTGGTCACAACTAACCAAAAAGTGTTCTTACAGGTTTTGTATTCTCTGTATTCCCAAAATGAGCAGGAAAACACAACTTGGTTAAGAAGAAAACCAAGTTTTGCACCATGATGCACTTTTCAAAAAGCCAATCAGTCTCAAATGAGCTGTACCTTATCAATTGGATGACAGACTTTGATACATCACTTGAAAATTTGATTGTACAGGAGAATATTATTCTTGCTGCAAGCTTGAAGTGGTATGACGTCATGATGTTACAAAGTTGATCGTGAATTTGTGGGTGTGTACATAACAAAATTGACTTAGCGCCACTTTGCACAGGCGTTGTTGAAACACGAAACAAAATTAAACCGTCCATCGATTGGCAATTTGGAGTCATCGAGCTCAAGATAAGAATTCATTACTCATCCGATCTTGAAATCTCTTTAACCATCAATTTCCAAACTATCATGTCAGAAGAAGAAACCATCTTACTCACTTTACCAAACGTAACAATCTATCAACAAGACATCAAGAATCCAAATGAAACTTTACTTTTAAATCAAACCACCTTAAAAATAAAATTATTAGATATACCATCTAATACATTGATTAACATTCCAACTACATCAAATCCTCCTTCATATATAGATTCAGAAAGTTTAAAATCTCCTATCATCGAACTTAAAACTTATTTAGTTTTATCTTTTGATGATGAATTGATCGAAATCCCTTTAACAACAGATATCGAAATCAAATTTAAATCTCCTAATTCTTATTTGATTCCAATCGATTCTAATTCAAATTCGAGCAATAATGATCAAGATCAAAAGAATGGAAAAAATAAAGAAATCGAACTTGACTTGAATTTACTTAAATCTCAACAAGAAAGTTTTATTAGATTAGAATTAAATGATCAGGATCAAATCGATCATGATTTATTTGATACTTTTGATAATATTCTTTCAAGTTATACGAATTATTCTGGTCGAAATCCTTCAAATCTTACAACGACTAATTTTTCAAATCAAGTGGATCAAAAACCAATCAATCAAAAAGTAAGATATCATTTCGATTTGCCCATGGATTCATCAATCAATCATTCATGCTCATCATACAATTGTCATTTTGTTTCTTAGGCTAGACTCGCTCTTATGGATGAAAGAACCGGTATGATTTGTGGAGAATTAGAATCCGAAATAATAGTAGAAGACCTACCGAATTCTAAACCAAATTCATCATCCACCCCAATTCATATGCCACCAAAGCCTACATCAAGCTCGGTACAATCAGCAGAAACAGTAATAGTTTCTTTACCTTCTCCAGGATCTCAATCATCTCAACAAACTTCACCAATAGTCAAGATCAATTCAACTTCTTCATCTAAAGGTTCAACTTTACTAGAAGGTGCTGAATTAATCTCACGAGGAATCGTCACAGGTGCAGACATTCTTACGCGTCTGATGAACTCTTCAAGTTCAAGTTATCTTTCGAAAGCTCCACCAGCAACAACACCTATGACGTTCTCTCCAACTGCTAAAGCAAACTCTCAACGATTGTTAAAGGTTTCAAAGACGGCTAATCAAGTTAGTTCTAAGACGGTTCGATTGATTGGAGGGCTTGCTTCTAAAGTGGGAGATCAAATTGGAAAATCAGCTGGGATTCAACATGTCCCTGGTCAAGCACCACCTACCGGTACTCGTGGATATGTACATAATGGTATTCGAGCTTTTGCTACTGTGATGGAAACAGTGGAAACAAGTGGTAAGAAAGTCTTATCAACAGCGTGAGTGAAGTTTGAAAGATTTTCAGATCTTATGATGCAAAACTAATGGATAATCTCGATTGTGATTCGTTTTTGATAATTTTAGTTCATCATCAGCCGCTTCTGTAGTACGTCATAAGTATGGTGAAGAAGCAGGTCAATTAGCTGATGATACCACTCAAAGTATTCAACATGTCGTTTTGGTCTATGTTGATGCAAGTGGAATGACAAGAAAAGCTTTATTAAGATCAGCAGGAAAAGCAGCTGTGAGAGGTAGAATGAAAGATGGTAGAGAAGTCATCTTTGGTGATGATGAACATGTGAATCAATGGAATTCCATGGATCCTAATCTAACTGATCAGAAACAAACCGTGGCACCAAAACTTCCTTCGAGAAAGAATTGATCGAGTCGTTTTCTGTCTATTCACTTGTTTGATTTTTAGGAAATTTAGATTTGTAGATTAAAATTGTATCGAATATGCACGATATTCTTTAGAAAAAATGTTTGTTTGGAATCTTCAGTCCTTTGTATACAACTTTGACTATTTGTCCATTGGACTACTCCTCTGAAATCGGATTTAATTTTATTCGGATGATCGCAAATCATAGTGAGAGAATTAAAACCATGTGTCAGATCTATCTTGTAGAGATCATAACTCTTGATATTGCCTGTGGAATCCCAAGTAACATTTTGGGAATACTTCCTGGATGTATAGCTTTAAGCTACAACTTGAGGTCAGGATTCCAAAGTTGATAAAATTGTCTACGTAGATGTCATTCAGCTTCTTTTGCTTCAGGTTTTACAAAACAATAGTCCAAGTTTTGTGTTGGTGGAGGGTTCAAGAAATATCTACAATGATGAAACAAAAGACCAAGTAGTAAGTTGAGGTGGATCAAGTAGAATTGGTCATCAAAAAGAGCAACTTACTGTGGGAATTCAAAAGTGATACCTGCACCACCTTGTAATAAGAATGAAGCTATGAGTACTGTTAATTGAGTTCCAACTGTCAAAGCTGCACTCAAGATCAAAATATATTTCTTATACCTATGTATTAGAAATAGAAATCAAGGAATCCAAAAGGAAAAGTCAATTGAAAAAAGTCTTTCTCAAAAAAAAGGAAATGATTTAAATGAAAGACATTTTGCAAGAATTCATTGACAAACCATCCTGAGTAGTGTTTTGAAATATAAATTTGTGACATGATAGCAATAAAGAATCCCATTGTTTTTCCAGAAGTGGCACCTAAGATTTCAACAAAGCAAAAGAAACATCATCATGGTAAGTTCATATATAACTTTCAGAATTACAGATTGTTTGAAGAAAAGAGAGACTTATAAACTAACCATGACTTGCACCACCAATTGCTGCAAGCAGTAAAGGTATATGAAACGTATGTAGATCATACTTTGGCCAAAGTTTGTGATATAAGTAAGATGGAATGGGTAATAGAAATCCTACTATGAAACTCAATGGCATCACAAACTATGAAGATATGGAATTTGAAATGATTGATCAGTAAAGTATAAAAGTGAGATCACAATTTCTCAAACACTTTGCTCACATATCTTGAACCTATGGTATATAGATGTGTACCAAAAGCACCCCAACTGAATTTTTCAAGCTCACTATTAGTTTTTGATTCTAATTAAATTGAAGAGATTTTGAATCAAAACAAACCTAATTGAATTAGATCCAAATTCAAGTACTCTAGAATTTGAAAATGTACCATGACCATCTGCTAAAAGTGATGGATCTTCTTCAAGAAACTTAACAAGAATCCTAGCTACTACCCAACTTGTGAACACTCCAACAAACCTATTATAAAATCCAAGTCAAGAGGATTGCTCAATAATTAGCAGTAAGAGACAAAAAAATAAGTATGTTTAGATGATGTTGATAAATATGTGAAGTAAAACCCATTTGGATCTTTTGGACGTACGTTCCAAGAAGCTTGGCTATAAATGCTATGATCTAGATTTAAGAGAAGCTTAGCATCTTTCCCTTTATAGATGTTTTCCCCAAGAAAATTTTCAAAAACTCACTGGAGGTACATGCATGTATTGGGCAAGCTTCATATCCTGGAAGATAGTCAAAGCACCATGCTTAAGATCAGATCTATCTCAAAGGTCAATGAAATCACTACGTACCTTCAACATACTCAACCCTTGAATAACAGTCGCATTCCTATATTGTACATCATGTGTTAGGCTTTTCGAGACAAGATGATTAGATTGTGACTTACCCATATCTTTTGAATTTCAATGTGTATTATAATCAATAGTTAGTGAAGAAATCATCAGTTTGACTCAAAAATTAAGCTGGATTTCAAAATTCAACTTTGAATTGAACTGACGATGTGAACCACATTAAGCCAGTAACATCACCAGGAAAGCACAATCCACCAATCATCTGCATCACTGTATGCACAGAGGCATCATAACCTGTGTATGATGACAAGAAGCCAACTGAAAAGCTTCAAATACAAGTTTTTTTAAATTAGAGATCAATGAGTTAGGAATTTGAATTTGAAAACCCAAGAACTTACATCAGAAAAGCGGAAAGAGATAGTGAAACTGCTAGAGCTAGATGTGGGATCACAGATTCATCCCTCATTGATGCCCATAAAGCTGCTAGTCCAGCCAAAGCTGAGATAGCCAAAAAGCCACTTAAAAAGTAAATTTGTACAGGAAGATATTCAAAAAGTTATTCACTCGGAGAAAACTAAACTCAGATGGCTCACAGCTTTGGAAAATCATGAAACCTTCTACAAAAGGTTCTATCTATGTCTTCAACTTCATGTGGAGCATGGGTGAGGTGTAGAAATGATCAAATCGAGCGTAAACTTGAAAGGTGATGAAGAATGACATTTGTCAAAGCTGAAGATGTAGCTAATAACTCAAAGATTTTACTAAGGATCACTACATTGGGAATGAAGGGTAATCCGTATTTAGCAACCTGTTGGGGTATTGCGATACCTGAAAGACTGATAACTTCTTTGAAAGGGTACAGCTTGGCTTGATATGTGTAAAGGTCACCAGAAATGAATGGGAAATTTTCGGCTGATCCACTTGCTATATAATAATGATTAAAATCAAGGTGTAGAATCAGTTTAGAGAATTAGGCTTTAGATGTGAATAACCGAGTAAGAATACTTTTACCAAACCATGAGCCTTGGTAAGCAACCCAAGAGATACCTATTGCGATGAGCCAACCAGCTAAATGATGGTACTGCTCTCGAAGTTCAATTCATGAGCTAAATCAAGTCTCGAGAAAGCTTCAAACCTCTTATTTGACTCACCAGTGCATTCAGAGGAGTATACAGTGGTCCATGGGCTCCTACAGTCACCCAATCCAGGGATAGACTCAAAAATCCAAATCCTTCTTCCGGATGAGCACCGCCAAAGATATTGGTGACTGAATGAGATTTTTGGTAAAGTAAACAAAATATACTCATTCCTCGAAGTGCTGGAGCTATATAACAAGGTAAGAATTCATCTATTTGATAAAGTGTTTTTTGTCAAAAACCAAAGTTAACATTTCTATCCATTTGTGTGTTTGATTCATAAGCTTCACATACAGAACATCATTGCGATTGTAACTTTTATGAAGAATTTCATCCGCTGTTTTGAGGCTCTTGATTCTCCGGTGAAAGATTTCAATAAAGCCACTGAGGGTAGTACGGAGCTAGAATGATTTCATCAGATAAACAGATATGAGCCAATTTTGTATCATCTCTACTCAAGTCAACGCTTTCTAGCAAGACGGAAAAGCCTACGGGAACGTGGCCCGAGCTGGATAGACCAAAAGAGGCTGCAATAAGCTGTAGTGTTTGAGATAACAAGAACTTTAATCCGTAAACTGAAAGGAATCACACATAATCAGGAGAGAGAGAGAGGTCTTCCTCACCCTGCCCAGCCGAATCCGATGATTTGGGAGCTGTATAGTATGACAAGCTCTTGATACGCTAAATGCGACTTTGAAAAGAGCATCCTCTGTGCGATAATGATCTACATAGGAATATTTTTTGTGAGCAGTGAGCTAGATCTGGAAGACCGGCAGAGATCTTATGGTTCTGTTACCTCCATAGCAGCCACACTTGCACTTCCAGATGTCGCTATAATTGACGCAAAAGTGGCCTCTCTCTTGGAAAAACGATGTCATCAGGTATCGCTGCATCATAAAGATAATTTATCACTGACTCACTCGGTGGAATGGGCCAGGATTCCACCATCTTGGACCAGGAATTTTTGACAGCATGATACCCAAACCAAAACATAACATCTACAATGTTCAAAGCTTCTTGACTTTGGCTGTCATCCAAATCAACGAGATTCATATTGAAAAGCTCACCTGTAAGGCTAAAGGTTGAAGTTTCATTGATGCTGGTTTGAAATAAAAAAGCTGAAAAGTTCATGAGATTGATCAACTTGTAGAACTATCTCAGCGTAGTCATAATAGGTAAAAAAAACACTAACCTGAGTGATTGTAGCACCCATTATCGCTAACAGTATTCCAGTGAGGGTTGACCTTACTGTCATTGAGCTTCTATAACCTTCTGTCATTACACTCGAAGTTCGGAAATGGCAAAATTCCGATCTACCAGCGTCGAGTTTCTCTGACTCATCGTGCGCGTGAAAATCGTCAAGAAGGGTACAACTTCGATCCCTGGCTTCCAACTTCCTTAACTAAATTCTCATAGATTTAAAAGCGTCAGTCTTGGATTCTTTGAGGTGCGCACTTAACTGGAACTAACCGTTGATTCTATATGGCTCTGGTACGATTCTGTCGGTGAGTCATTTGACTTTTTGACATCTGTATTCCTCATAGAACTCTGGGTAGTACTGGGTAATAAAACCCTCAGCGGACCTAAATAAAGGCACCTGTAAGCGACTGGTAAACTGAGTAAGAATGCTTGATTTCACTGTGATCTCCTCACCTTCAGTGAATAATGAGTTTTGGTGGTGAGAGGAACCCGCGAAGGAGGAAGAACGTGCGTCGTCCTCCTCATTTTTTCCTTGTATTCCCCGCCGCAAGGACATTTGATTAGTTTTTGAATAGGTTTTGTGCTATTATTTTATAGAGAAGTCTTCGAGGTTGACTTCGGTGGCGAACAGCTGACAAGAAGATGTCGCTTTCTACGACGCTATCCTCACTTCAACTCGAGTATGATGAGACGGCGAAAGGCGGGCGTTACTTCCGTGCAATTTTGATCAAGGTAGATCGATAGTAAATAGGATCGTCTATTTTGCTTTCGAAGCCGCCAAGTCAGAGTGAAACCGATTTGAACAAATGAAAGTAGGAATAACATCGTGCGAGATCCGATTGATGGTATCAACGTTGCAAAACATCGATTTGCACAATCGCTGACGACGGAGTTCGGTCTCCAAGATTCGATCCCCAGCGCAATTACAAGATATGGCGAGCCCATCCTAAACATCGAGAAGATTTTGAAACTCTAGTCGATCAACTGAGCATTTTGGATAACAACATTCAAGAAAGGCGTGCGAGGAAGTAAAAGCCTCATTCATTTCCCAAGTCTTACAAAAAAACCAGTCATCTGAACGTGACGAGGTTGATGAGGAGTGGGGAGATTTAGGATCACTCGATTTTAAAGATCCAAAACAGAAAAATAGTTGAATAACAGAGAAACCTCATAGACACAGAGCGACTTTATATACAGAACCAGAATCGAACTGGATGGTAAACTGCCCAATTACGTCATAGTACCGGTGCACTTTTACGGCCTATTCAAAACTTCTCAGTAACAACACCACACAGCGCCTCACAGCACAAATCACTTCTGGACCGCATAAATACAATGATTATGACCCTTGTAACATACGATGAGTGGGTATCGGGTTAGAGAAACAAATTCTCTGTCCCCTGATTCTAATCAGATAAAGGTTCGTTTCAAAAAGCGTTCCAATCAATTCTTCTTTCAAAGATGAGTCAACCTTAATGAAGCGCTGTTAGAATCGAACATTAGTAGATATTTGAGTATTGTGATCGAATTTAATTCCTCATCAAGAGGTACATATTTTAAGATCTAGCGTATTACAATGAATGGTACTATAAGGTGATAAACGTGAGGTGGGTCTTACAAATCAAACACTACCATACGTCTTGTACATACATAACCAACTTTGGTAGAAAGTTTAGGTAACTTTATAAAGGACGTTAAGTGATAAAAGAAAGCAAGTTAAACGATAGTCCTACATATAGTCAAGTCAAACGAAAGATATCAAAATAAATCTTCACATTCATCGAGTAATGAGAATTCATTATCTAGCTCTGCCTGTTCAAGGCCTTTTGAATACTTCCTAGTAATTGACCGTCTTCTGAGTCACCTGTTGCGTCAAAAATATCGACACCTGCTAATCCTTGTGCAATTGCATATTTTGTCTTTTCAGCTAAAGAGAAACCATCATCGTAGCTGATTAGATTTCGAGTTGAGGGGTTGAATAAAAATGGCTAAAGATTCAAAAAAAAGTTCATCAAAACGCGATCTGAATAATCCAAAATGATTTGAAGTATGACTTACAGTATGAGTACAATTATCATAATGCCTTTCATAACCTTCAAGTCCTTTTTTTCCGTCAGTTGAAAGCTTTCCTGTTTGAGATAATTCTTTAAAGAGCCATTGTCCTCCAGCTTTGGTGATGTTTCCACAGACATCTTTTGATCCTCCGGCGTCAGCTATCTTACCAGCAGGAGGAACAGTAGGACTCGAAGGTTGAAATAATGTACTAGTCACACCCGACTTCCCAGAAAAGGTGCTAGGTGTCAATTTGTTCGATAGGGTGGTGTATCCGTAACCATAAGCTGGCAGACCAAGGATAAGCTTCTTTGCAGGTGTTCCGGTAGAAGTCCATTGTTTGATGGCTTGGGAAACAGAGTATCGAAAGTTGGGTTCAGAGCAAGTGTCGAAAAGTGGGGCGTTTGGGCCAGCTACTTTGGAAAATGAGGGACCATAGACATCGTAGGCCTATGTGATGAAGATGTATCAAGTGGATTAGTCTATGGTAATCATAGAACTATCGATCGAAGGATCATAAGAAAATGAACTGACCATGATCGTAAGGAAATCTAATTCACGAGAAAACGCGCTGGTGTCATTGAGGTAAGTGGTTCCATCAGCCGACATGAAACCGTGTACCGAAACAGCAGCCGAAAGTCGAGAGTGAGCACCAAGTTTTGATCGTAAAACTTTAAGAAAGGATAAAAAGTTTTGACTATCATCTTTGTTGAGAAGGTTACATCCTAAACCTTGGACGTTGGGATATTCCCAATCTACAAAAATTTGACATTCGATTTTTAATTAGCATCACTCTCATGACGGATAATGATGAGCGAGTGATAGAACGACTTGACTAAAAGATAACTCACCTAAGTCAATCCCATCAAAACCGTACTTTTTGACTGCTCGCGAAATAGACGTGGCGAAATCCGTTCGGTTTTGCTCACTGCCGACCAAAGCACTAAAGAAACGGCTTCCTGTCCAGCCTCCGACAGTCTTTCACGATGAATTGAAAATCAGTATCAACCTAATCGAAAACAAGAACCAACCAAAGACTTACAAGTGAGGTGGAAACGTTATGAGATTTTGCAGCTGAGATAACCTCCTTCATGTTGGCTTCCGTATCAATTTTCAAATCATCTTTCGCTGTGTCACCTGGAACCGCAACGAAATAATGCAAATGATCGTATCTCTTCCAAGGAATTTTTTCTACTGGTAAGAACTTGGCATTATAGCCAGGATAGTAAACTGAGATGATCGATCGATTTGAAGATTTAGCTACACGATGATGTTTACGAGCCCGGCAAGTAGCGCCTAGAGCACCTTGCAAGTCAAAGCTGACAAGAAGAACCAGAGCCAATAAGACTTGCATTTTAAAAAATAAGGGGATGATAAAAACTATTGGTATATTGATAATCTAAAGTCCAAAAGGGATGAAAAGAGCCTTGTCTCGCAAGGTGTGAACGAATATAAAAAAGGTAATATGTTGCTTCAAAGAGTAGATCACTCCGGATTGTTTTTGTCAGACGGAACAGTCAATCAAGGAAACTATGAAAGCGAACGCTGGAAGCTGTAGCCTTTCAACGCACCCATGGGCCATCACAGGAGTGGGGTATTTATAAGAAAGGCAATTGCTAAGGAAATTGAGTTCAGCTTTTGTGCTGATGCATGAAAGCAACCTAATCGCTTGCGCAGGTGATCAGCTCATTGTCCGGCATCCCCACTTAGTATCGAGTATGACGGCATGTTACTACAGGGGGTTTCCCTTGTGGCCCATTCACCAACCCCATTCAACCAACACCCTTTGTTCGCGGATACGTAGTCCTGTTTTTGATGGGTATTGCTTGGTTTTCATCTGAATAAGCAGTCGTTGCCGAGCGCATTTAAGTCGCGTTAATTAGACCAAGCATGACCGATGAGTGAACACCTGTGAACACATGCCCAAATAAATCGCTGGCCCTTGTGTAGGCATGAGCTGACTTTACGTCACCTGAACTCTGGATCGGTTCAGACGATATTGTCGAATATGCTTACTGGCCGAACTCAAAGGAGTCTTCTGAATCCTAAGTATGCACAGCTAAATCGTTTCCTGATTTCAATTCCTACGCTCGTCAATTCCAAGAAGCAAGTGCCTACATATGGGTGTTAAGCTGGTACATCAAGACCTCACTATTTCTGCTATGTACAAGCTAGCTTTTGCCTTCTATCTGGGTAACTAGCTGAGTCACTGCAACAATTCATTTCGCACATACAAAGAGGTCAAGGACTGATGGATTTCTATATACACCACGATTGAACCTGGACGAATATATGTACATAGTTGATTTCATAATTGTCACTGATCTGTTGACCTTCAAGTTCACAAGTGTGGATCAAATCAGACCAAAGCTACAAAACTACAAAAAAAATCAATAATCCTTTGAGTAATCAGGCAAATGACCTTCAAACGCAAAGGACAGTGGGGCTCAGTGGGGGCAGAAAAAGGTTGTGATTATACTGATAAACACAGGAGAACGTGAAGTGAAATCTGATGAAATTCAGATGAAACAAACGTAGTTGATTTTTTTGCCTGATCGACTGAAATCTGGGGTGGAGGATTTTGTACCCCGCGATGCAAATCTTGACCATACAGACCTAAGCTTAACTAAGCCCCTCTCGCGCGGCTGCGTCCGCGCCCCTCGAAGAGGGGCTTACAACGGACTCGTACTTTTTGGCAGGAGAGCTCCAAGAATTAAGGTGCCTTAAGTAGTTTTTTGGACTTCTCCTCGAGCCCTCACCGTAGAATTTCTCAAGTTTCTCGTATGTTGTTCTTCACACTTTTGTACATGATCTGGTACCTCATAGTTTGTCTCACCTTGAGGGGAAGTGTTATAAATATGCGATGAAGATTTGGTAATATGTGTGCTTAAGTGCTTTCAAATTTCGTATCCAAGGCATATGAAGAAGGCTTAGGCCATTACAAGAGGACGTAAGGCCTTGTAAGGCCCATTCTTGACACAGCTCTCAAAGCATGCAGAGCTATCTGTTTCTCATGAAACTTGTGCCAGCAAATGTACAAAGGCATGAAGAAAAACATACCAGCAGCTCACAAATTTCTACGGTGAGGATTTGAGGAGAAGTCCAAAAAACAACATAAAGGGACTTAATTCTTGGAGCTCTCCTGCCGAAAAGTACAAGTCCGTTGTAAGCCCCTCTTTGAGGGGCGCGGACGCAGCCGCGCGAGAGGGGCTTAGTTAAGCTTAATACAGACCCAAGAAAATTCGTCAACCCATCTCAACTTCTCCACGCTTAAACAATGGCTTGACATTGACAGCCGGCCCCCAAAAGCCATCCAAGGCCAAACACCTCAGTGAACGCAGAGACGAAATAAAAAGATGTCAGAGACGACCGGAACGAAAGCTTCGGATTTCCAGATTTCAAATTTGAAATCTGGAAATCCAAAGGCGCAGTGGCCTTTGGTGAACGCCGGCATCTCAGCTAAAACTGCTGGCAGTGCCAGTCAGGTACAGTTGACTCCCTTGAAACCCATATCCCTGTAAACCCATACTTCCTGATAATCCATAGAAAATTGAGTCCATAAAATTTATGGGCAGGGAAAAGTGGCCTAAAACCCATACCTCACACTATTCCCATAACCCATAGGTTTTTTCAGGGAGACCAGGTTCAAAAGCCATAACCAGAAAGTGCAAAATTTGTTTTTTTTGTAAAAACCACCTCCTGGTGAATCATTTCTCAGCAGAAAGTGTCTCAAAATGCTTCCAAAAGACCTCCCAAACTTCAGCGTATCAGATATTGAAACAGAGAACAACAAAAGGCTTAAGCCACTACACCAACTGCTCAACAAAGGGAAGGAATTATCAGAGGCGGATGAAAGGTTCATGGACTCGGCGGGCAACTTGATAGACAAAGTTATGGTGTTGAGGAAGATAAAAGCAGAAGGCAATGTTTCTAAGGCTGCAAGTCAATTTAAGAAGAGCTCAAGAGACTTGAACTTTTGATCTTGAAATTCAATCAAACAAAGCAATCAGTGGTACCCAAAGAAGCCAGTAAGTTGTAACCTCAAGGGCCCTGTTGAACTGTTCACTTGCTGAAAACATGAGTTGTTGAATATTATAGGTTGTAAGAAATGGGCTGCTGAGAAAAGCAACGGACAACACAGGTATCACACAACAATATGGAAATTAATTTTTTGAAGAACTCTTTAAAAAAAAAATCTCCCTATCAACCCATACTTTACCTGCTAAACCTTAATCTATGGGTTATGAGGGAGATCCTCCAAAACCATACACCCATAAAACCCATAGTTTTGGGTTTCCATAAAGAGGTATGGGTTTCAAGGGAGTTGACTGTAATCATAAGAGCCGGAACAAAATCCGGCACAAGTCTCTGGGAAACTCTTGGGATGTGGAGGCGTATTTGATGGGTTTCATCTCCCCTTGAATCTATGTAAGTATGTAATACATATTTTCTCAGGAGCTCTTGGAGAGCTTTTGAAATCTAAAGACAAATTCACTGGTTCATTGCGAGGCAAACTGCGGGGAAAAATATGATATCATGCAATCCAAAGTTTCACGTAATGCACCCTGATTTGAACTCCCTCTTGACGTCTAATTCCAATATTGGGCACGAGCATATCATTTTCTATATTGGTATGATTGCTTGAGTAGTATATATGTTCCGCTTTATGTTTCCCTGGGCCTCCATCCATCTTCACTTTTTTGGTGCTTTGTCTTGCAACCTATCATACTCATCAGCCTCTCCATTCTACAATGAAAATCAAAATCGCCATTCTTGCTATATCCTCTACCTTGATGTTGGCTAGTCATCTTACCATGGCATCCGTCTTGAAAGCAGAATCACGCGGGGTCTGTCTAATTTCTTCTCTAATTTCTTCAATCACCACATTGTTTTTTAATAAAGTAGGAATGGGCAGTTGGTAGTCCGCATGACCTTTGAAGCAGCTGACAATTACTCTATCATTCTGACCTTTAAAGAAAACTCCTCACCTAGTACGCACAGATTGTAACAATGAAGGATGCGCAAACGGATTGCTATGCTGTCATTCAACCGGTGCTTGTTATGGTTACGGTGGTCAATGTTGATACCAGAAAGGTGAGGATTCAATGAAAAATCGGCCTAATTGCTCTTATCGAATCCTACGCATAACTAATATACTACGTATCTTACACTACATCTGCTTCTTGTGCGATTTGGGTTTACATCAGGATCCGTGCCTACTGAGTAAATGGATTCGTCTATCACCAGTTCTGCCTCTTGTTCTTAATGGCTTATAACATACATTATTGGAGATAGCTGTTCCTCATATCATGTGTCTTTTTGAGATTTGCCATTAGAAGAACCACGGTCCAACAGCTTGGAATGCTAGTGTCAAGGTTTCAGGCTGATTCTTCTATTCATAAGCAACTAAATATATTCTGCAATAGTGAAATTCAACACAGTTTTGTTATGACAATGAACACTTGAATGCTCTATGCTGAAATGTCTATCAGAAGCTTCAATCCTAAAGTGCACATTATCCTTCAGATCACCATACATGAAAGTTCCAAGATCATGTCAGAAATGTGAAGACAAAACATGGTGTCTGAACTCATTGAATATCATGGTCCACAAACAGATTCTCATCTATGACCCAAATAGATATGTTTTGTCCACAAATGGTAAAGAAATCAAACAAAGCATAAGTAGCAGTGAAATTTGACTGTATGTGTTTCATTTGCCTTGGTTTTTTTATTTCAAGGAGTGGTTATTCAAGCAATTGAGAGGGGCCAATTCAATACAGAAGATGTGGAGGGTTGTCAGGTGCATTGGATTTTTCCTTTGCTTGTAATTCTGTCACCAGCCAATACTTTTATACTGGGCAGTTGAACTGTTTGGTGCTTTTTGCAAGGTACAAGAATGGAGATTAATAATCAGTTGGCTTATGGATAGGTCTAGTGTTTTTTTTACATCATTCAAAAACTTGTGACTGGAACGTGTGTGACATCAATTTTTGACTTCATTAGAGAATCAGCACCTGGAACTAGGAAATAATACTTGATTGGGAACCTGTACAATGGGCAGTGGACAGGAAATAGAGTGTATTCCCAGTCTCCCAGAAGTTTGTAAAAAACAAAGAGATCAAGGCTTCGCAAAATGATGAGAATTAAATCATCAATCACCCAGTCTTGACCGGAGAGAAAGTGACACCAATATGATAGATTCAGATCAAGAGGAGAGAGGTTGGACAGTCTTCATGTTTAAGGGATATTTCAATTATAGTTGACCAATTATTCCTGATAGGTAAGGTCTGATTTTTACTTGGTGAGCAAACCATACAGGTGGTTTACTAAATCTGGCGCCCTGGAATTTATTCCACATACTTTGTAAGATAGCTGTATTTTTATATTTGGTTGGTCCAGTAGTGGTGCTCTTATATATAAAGCTCTTGTATGCTGTTTACCTAGGTCTTTTTCTCATCAAACTCAAACATTGTTCTTCATGCAATATTCTTTCACTTCACATTGTTCTCAGCTTTGTTCTCAGCTTTCATCAAGCTGATTACCTGATTCTCACAAGTGACACCCACTTTAAGTGTGAGGTG